CAGGAGAAAACTCTCCCTGCACCTGGGCTTCCTCTCTTCATTTGCATTACAAAAAGCATGTCTGACCCTGCCAGGAAGAGGGCATTTAAGGAGATGATTCAAGAGGTCTGTGGTACTTCTTTCACAGCCACCATCCTCCTTGCTAATGCTCTCTCCCCAGCAAGGAGAAGCCTGAGAGGTCTGCACTCAGGTTCTGCTACAACCTGCAGCTGAGTGTTGGGGTGAACTCACGCCCAGGCTGGGGAACAATTCAAAAATCAGCTGAGAAAGGGGCCAGTGGGTGGTGCTTAAGGCACTAGACTACCACATGGGCGACTACAGTTCAAGACCCGGATTTGGTGGCTTGAAAAATCACTCCAGGTGCATGTGTGTGCATGCCCAAATCCTGAGAGGAGAATGAAGGAGAGGGGACTGCGGCATGGCCATCACCCCACCGAGGGAGGCAAAGGGGGTAAGGAGGACAGGTTCTTACTTTCCCTCTCCAGCAAGGGCATACACCCTATGGGGGGGTAAATTAGCTGGGAAGTATGGCTTCTTTCCAGTTTCCAATCCCACTACAGATTATAAACTTTTTCTCTTTGGCTTTTAAAAATTAGATAAAAGAAGCCCGGTGTGAAGTGTTGGGTAAATTCCCTTTACAAGCTGGAGTGATATATAGTGATTAAATGTATAAAATAAATTTTAAAAGAAAAAAAGGAACCACTTTCCTTACCACCGTTTAAGAAATGACAAATGTTTGGCAGATTGACTCTTCTCCATGTGAGGACATCTCTATGAGTTCAGGGTCCTACCTAGCACCAGCCACGAAAACTAGCCTGCGGAATACAGACACACGGGAACTCCCTTCCTGTAGAACTGATTGCATCTAAAAATTCCAAAGAAGCAATTTCAAAACCTCTGATACATAACTTCAGAATAAACTAAATGCAAAATTAGTTAAACATTCCACACTATGTACGAGGCCCTGAAAGTACTATCTCAAAATTAAGGACGCCCAAATCTGCTTTGTTAAGTCATTGTTGGGAACACCAAGTAAATGATTCTAGCTGTCAGTATCACAGAATGCCTGTGTGTTCTCGTTTATTAAGTGAGATTAAAACTAGCTACCTCATTGCAGTTTTGAAAGGATTAAATGAGTTAACACGTATACTGTTTATAATAGTGTCCAGCACATAGTAACCACCTAAGAAATGTCAGCTAGTGTTACTATTGTTGCTAATATCCAGCACTGTCCTGGCTAACACCATTCTACCAAGTGAAAGAGAAGTTCACTTCATTAAACTGCCTAGAAAACTATCAGCTAAAAAAAGACATGCCTATAATCTGGTCCTTTGATAACAAAATTTGTCTTTTAAAAGCCATTAATGGAGTCCCAACATACAAAAATTGCCTTATTTTGTAGAAGTTTTAATATTTAACAAGTTAAAAAATTAATTGTTTATTTTGTAGAATATTATTTTCCCTTGAAGTAGAAATATCTATTTAGCATTTCCTAAATGAATGTAAAAAAGAACTGAGTTAGTAGCCTCACTAACACGCTTCCTTTAAACAAAAATCATTAATTTTTACCTTCTCTTCAGGCCAGATGATGTTCCTCATGCCGGAAGGTTCGGCACTTTAATCTGATAAGAGCCCAGGAGCTGAAGGAAGTTTCAAATGACTACTGCTTGGGTTAAAAATAGTCATTGGGAAACAAAAACTGAGAAACAGAAAGCAGAAGTATTTACAAAATTGCTCCATCCGCACCCTTACACTGTGGGTGTTTTCCTCTTTCTCAGACCACCGTCCTTCAGTCTGACAATTCCTAAATGCGTGTCCTGAAGACCACTGGTCCCCAAGATGGTTGGCCAGACCAGCGTGCAGTGTCAAGCAAGTTTGGAAAATACAGCCTATACTCCCCTCTTGAAGCCACAGTGCCTTAGCATAGCGAGGGCCCTGAGCCTCTTCTAGGCAAAAAAGGCTATTTAGGTATGCTTAGCCCATCGGTTCAAAACTTCCTTAACCACAGCCTCCCTTTTCTAAGAACATCTACCTACCAGAATCTAGGTTTAGGAAATACTCTAAATTAATCACTTCTTCCTACCTTAGGAAGGGCTCATTCACCTGGCCCAGCAAAGTCAGCACTTAATTTAAAAGCAAGTGGCAAAGACATAGACCCTACACATACCCATGGTTCCTAATCAACATAAGTTTTCATGAAGAAGCAGATCTTGAATCAAGTCAAATAGAAACTATCCTTGGGGGGCCGACAGCAGTGTGGTGGTTAAAGGCGCTAGACTCCCACATGGCCAACCACGGTTCAAGTCCTGGACCTGGTGGCTTGCTTTCACACTTTCTCTCTCTCTCTTGCTCTGTCCCTCTCTGGTTAAATATAAATACATACACACACACACACATACACACACACAGAGGCTCACAGGAAGCAGGATTTCAGAAGACTAGGAGGATAAGAAAAAGCAAGACAGGTGAAAAGGCAATCCTGTCAACAAAAGGAATGTCATTCTCCTCCTGTCTTTTTTAAGTCAAGGAGAACAATGATGCACTGAAATCTAATGAGAATGTGTCCAAGGTCAACAGTGAAAAATCCACTGGCGTTGGATAGATGGGGTTGTGAGCAGAGAGGAATGTTTAGCAGAGTGTGTATGTGTGTGCGGGGGTCCTTGTTCAACTATCTCCAAAGACTCCAATCTCCAGAACATTATGGCAGTTCTAGAAAATTTCCCCCAATTTTCAATATCTATTTCTAGTCGTTTTGCCTTTGTCCTAGCACTCAAACCTCACGGAAAATTAGGGATGTAACTATTCTGTGTCCTGCTTCCTCATCAGGCCACTGGATCATAACTGTCCCAAAGGGCCTCTTACTGACCTCCCTAGAGACCAAAAACACTGCAAAGGCACAGAGAAGCACCAGAGAAGGAGCTGAAATTTCTGAAGTAACAACAATAGCAAAGAATAAAGCTATCTGGGTTATGCAACTATTGGTTTTCCAAGATTCAAAAACACTCAAGTATCTTCAGCCTAATTCTCTGCCAATGGGGTAAGAGAGGTGTTTGGAGGGGCTACTCAGCTGAGTGTATTAAAAAGCCTCTCACTGGGGCCGGCAGGTGGCTTGTTATAACCACAGCATGGTGTAAGATGCCAGACTCCCACATTGCCGACCATGGTTCAAGTCCTGGACCTGGTGGCTTGCTTTCTCACTTTCCCTTTCTCTCTCTCTCTGTTCAAATGATAAAATAAATAATAATAGAAAATAAAATTAAATAAATAAATAATTTTAAAAAATAAAAGCCTCTCAGTGCTTCTGTAGTAAAATACAAAGTTACATAAAGTGGCCCCATCATTTCATTCTACCACTGCCCAGCAGAGCCCTCTGCGAGAATGACATGGTCTAAACCAGCACTGTCCAACAGAATAGCCACTAGCCACATGTAGCTATTCAGCACTCAAAACATGACTTGTACAGCCAAGGAACTAAAATTTTTAATTTTAGTTCATTTTAATAAAACACACACACACACACACACACACACACAGCTGTGGCTATTGTATTAGGTAAAGCAAATAGCCTAACACTCAAAGTTCCTTCAGCACAAATTTCACAGAGAGATCATCAGAAAGCAAGGAAGGTTCTCCTGAGGTTCTAGAAAATGGAATATTTGACCAAAGAAAGCAGGATGCAAAAATGAAGGTGGCAAAAGATAAGCATTCTTCTCATTTACCCAGATGGGAAACAGATGACAGATCAATTAATTGATATAAATCATAACTACTATCTGGGGAACCCCTGCATTCATAGCATTTTATATCCAACAACTCTTCAAGATAAACATCATTATCACTTTCTTATATATGTGGAAACTGAGGTTCAAGAAAGTCAAGTAGCTTAAGAAAAACTACACAGTAAGTGAAGCTAAGATTTGAACTCAAAGCCAAATCAAATACAGTTTCAGACTTTAAGAAAAATAAACTTTCCTTTCTAGATTAAGTCAACAAGTTTTGTTTTGGTTTTTGAATATTATATGTATAACACTATGCTATGTTTTCTGGGAGCAAATAAAAGATCAATAAAGAAAGCTATCAATACACTGAACCTTAAGAGTTGTGTGGTTGGGGCTGGCAGGTGGCATGGTGGTTAAGGATGCTGGACTCCCATGTGGCTCCTCCACGGTTTGAGTCTTGGACCTGGCAGCTTTCTTTCTCAATTTCTCTGTTTCTGTTTCTCTCTCTCTCTCTCTCTCTCTCTGTCTTTCTCTGGTCAAATTAAAACAAACAATAATAATAGCTAAAGTTAAATAAAATAATTCTTAAAAAATAAGAGAGTTGTGTGGCTTGTTATAACAAAGGTGCATAAATTATTCAGTTACAGCTAGCTCACCATCATATTGTAGCAACCAACTGACCCACAATAAAAAATCAGCTAATCATTTTAGTACTTCAGAAACTTACCACCAAAAAGCATAAATAATAAAGGAGAGAAAAAAATATTAGGTTTTTCAGAAGAGTCACAATGTGGGACCAGGAGACAGTGTCATGGGACTCTCATATTTGACCACAGTTCGAGTCCCAAACCCAGTGACTTAAAACTCTCATGTGTGTGTACATCCCCAAGGTCATGAGAGAAGAATGGAGGAGAAAAGACTGCAGCATGGCCATTCACCCCCACCTCCCACCCCGGGGTCACTTCTTGCTTTCTGTCTCTCTATAGCTCTCTTGTCTGTCTGGTAAGCACATGTGCCCTATAGCAAAATCTCTCTCTAAAAAAAAAATAAAAATAAAAATGAAAAACAAGAAAAAAGAAAAGTCATAGATAGCACGCTGATAATAATAATAATTGAAAAAAAGACAATATCAACTTCAGTGAAAATGTAGAGCAACGAGAATTCCCACATAGCAGTGGGAAGGAAAAATGGCACAGCCACTGTGGAAAAGAGTGTAACAGTTTCTTAAAAGGTTAAACATACACCCACCATATGTTCTAGTAATTCAATTCTAGGTATCTACCCAAGAAAATGAAAACATTTGTTCACACAAAGACTTACACACAAATGCACACAAATGATCATAGCAGCATTATTCAAAACAGCCAAAAAGTAGAAACAATCCAAATGTCGATCAGCTGGAGAACAAATGAACAAAACTGGTGTATAAGTATAATATAATTCAGAGCCAGTCAGGTGGCGTGGTGGTTTAGGAGGCCGTATCCCACATGGCTAACTGTGTGGTTCAAGTCCTGGACCCAGGAGCTTGAAAAACACATCAGCACACGTGCATGTATGCCCAAAATGCCCGAGAAGGGAATGGAGGAGAAGGGATTGTGGTGTAGTCATCTCCCTTGGGTGTACTTTCTCACTTTCCCTCTCCCTCTCTGTTTCTCTTCAGCAAGCACAATAATTTTTTTTAATGAATTTATTTTTTAAGAGATTTTAGTTACAGTGTATATGTGCTCGACAGAGACAGAGACAGAAAGTGAGAAGTCATGCTTCAGGGAGGATGGCCACACCACAATCCCTTCTCCTCCATTCTCCTTTCTCTTGGGATTTTGAGCAAGCATGTTCACCCAACATGAGTTTCAAGCCTCCAGGTCCAGGACTGAAACCACAGTCATCCACAAAGGAGTCCAACCCCTTAACCACTATGCTACCTGCTGGCCCCAATTTTTTAAAAAAAATTGTTATTCAGCAATAAAAAAGACTGAACTACTGATGTATATTACAACCATGACAAATACCAAAAACAGTATGCAAAATGAAAAAAATTCATAGGCAAAAGACTATATATGGAATGATTCCATTTACACAAAACTTCCTGAAAAGGCAACTCTGCAGAGAAAGAAAGCAGACTAGCAGTTGCCGAGGGCTGGGGTGGTAGCAGAGACTGACTACAAGTGGGCGCGAAGCAACTTTCTACAGGGATGGAAATGTTCTAAATATGGATTTGGGAGATGGCTACACACCTCCATGAAAAATCACTGCATTTACACTAGATGGATTTAATGATCTGTAAATTATATCTCAATAAAGTTCTTCCTAAAAAGGTATATATCCCCGACACACAGGAAACGGGGCCTGGTTCAGAGGGCCATTCTGCTAGTTGCATTCATTCTATAAATCATATGCGGTCTAAAGGTAAAGACATAATGGAGAGGAAGAATCAATTCTATTTTTCTTCAATTTTATTTATCAAAAGCAATTTCTTCAAGTATTTCAAAATTTAGAGCTAAGAATACCCAGGTTCAGTTATGATTTTGGAGGTGGTTTGCTTGGAGGTTCAAGGGTGAGAATTGTGGACTCGAGCTGAGTCTAAAGCCCAGCTCTCCTAACTAGCCGACCATGATCGAGCATGTTCTTTAACCCGAGTCTGTTTCTTGTTCCTGTAAAACAGAATGAATGCCCCCGCAGTGTTGCCGAAACTAGCACACTATACAGCACATGGTAAATACTACACAAACTCTGGTACTGTTTTTATCACCATCGCATCCTCAGACCCTATGATCCTATAACCCTAGACCCCCACCCCCCCACGGCAAAACGTCACTGATAAATGAACATTCTCTTTTCTTTTCTTTTTTCCTTTTTTTTTTTTTGAGAGAGAGGTTTTTGCTATAGGATGCATGTGCTCACCAGAAAGACAGAGAGAGACA